AGAGAGAGAGAGAGAAGAGAAGGGGGGAATATGAAGGGTCCTTTACACCCTGGTTCCGACCCTTCTGATTCGCGCACTGAATCAATCATCATAAGCTACGATTGTTCGCAACACACGCGTTTTCCTTCCGTCAGCTTTGCAGTCGTCCGAAATATCGCTGAACACGCATTGTTTCATATAATGGATTAAATCGTTCATCTCGCAGTTATACATTGCATCGTATTTTCATAAGATATACGATATCTTAATATACTTGCTTTCGAAGTAATAATATATAAAAGAATTGCATATATATTATATTGATATATCGTACGTCGAGAAAAAATGCTCTTGAATCAATAGCATTAGTCTAATTGGAAATAATTTTGTTAATTCACTGACATTATTAATGAAACAAAGATCTTGATTATTAAAACAAGAGCATGGCACATTGTTTCATTAATGATAACTATGCTGTTGATTCAACAGTATTTTTTTCTCATATAATCTTTTTTCTCTTAAGAAAATCGCGAAACATTGTTCTCGTTATACAGAAAATATTTCAGGAATAATAATTTCAGGAAATATATAGCACAAAATGATTGACATATACGAGAGTGACGTAAACAAATTAACGTGCTCACTTCACATAAATTTTCATCTCTGACGTCAATCGTTCTATTGATAGTATCAAATTTATTGGGCAGCGTACATCGTCGAAATTAAATAGAATAGCAATCATCTAGATACGTAGCTCACATACGTCGTTGGAAATTTCTAGTATAATGCGACGCTTCCATACATTTCGCCTAAAGTTTGAAGCTATGGATGAGGTCATGGGTCATCTAACTTATACTCGGAAACGTTATAGTCCCGACGAAGCCCTGAGGGATCGGACGGTGTCGACGCGTATGAGAGAGAATGTCACGGGATGTTACACTCCCTTCCTGTTCATCTGGTCGACAGCTTTGTCCATCTACCATCATCCTTTGCATCCCCCCTCCTTGCCTCTTGAAACCCATCTACTTTGATTCCGCGTAATAGCTTTTTGAATGTCGCCGCTCAATACGACGAAGCATGTGGAGTACGTCGGCTGATTATTGCGGTGCATTGATTCCTGAAAGGAAGACCGCATGAACACACGGTGGAAAGCCTGTTGGGAAACCTTATTTCCTACGTTATCCGTTTTTTGGATTGCGGCAGATCGGTACCTCGGTGGGTAAACATATGTGTCAATAGTCACTAGCCGCTAAAAGCTAGCCTCTCGCTTTTTTTTTTTCTTAAATAAGTAACACGCAATCGTTTTGCAATTTTGCAGTTAAAGAGAGAAAAATCTCTTTGATAATAATATATACTCGAGATAGCAATATATGACAGCAAATAATGTACGATTAAAATTAAAGAAAAAAAAAATAAGAAATTGATTAAATATTATATTAATAATAAGAGTAAGTTATTAATAGACTAAATTATTATTACGCCTACAATAAGTCCTTTATATATAATAAATTTATTTATGAGGTGATGGACTACTTGTGAAATTTTCAAGGATTTTCCTTTCTTTATTTTGGAAAGCGAAAGAAATAAATTATTTTAAGCTTTTAAATAAAAGCCAAGGTATTGTAATAGTGATTTATTACAAAATATAATAAACTCACAAAAAATTTTAATAAAAGCAAGTTGTTTTCGTCAATCAAGAAGTTTTTTTATTATCACAGAACAACACAAGACTCCATATTGTACAGGGATAACACGACAAATGATTGCAAAGTTAATTTCAAAGGTTTTCAAAGCTCCATCATACTTTCCATTTCTACAGATTATCATCTTTTTCGAGATTTTTTTTCTGAAAATAATCAGTAAAAAATGATTAACAAGAAAATAAAAAAATTATATAAACTATTGTAGAGCTAAATTTTATATATCCATATTTTTTATATCCATAATTTATATAAACTAAAGAAAAGTTATATATTAAATGCATACTTTAATGAATAGATTACTTAAATTAAAAATATATTGTACTCTAAACAATTTTCCTTTTTCTCTATTTCTTTCTCTTTTCTAGAAAAACGTAATATTCACCGGATTTGATATGTCTATAGAAATAGTTTTCTTATCTTGCCAAAGAGAATGTATTGAACAAGTTTACAGTGAGTCATTGCTCAAGAATTACTGAAAGCATCCAATGACGCATACCTACCGAACCCGGAAAAGTACTCTTTTGTAAGGTTTGGTTTTTGTCCGGATTCGTTACGAAGGAATCG